CCCCAAAACCCCAAAACCCCAAAACCCCAAAACCCCAAAACCCCAGTTTAACAATATTATGTTGGAATTACTTGAGATGTCCATAAAGGATGATATCTATCCATTCCTTAATCTCACTCCTGACTGCCTTTAGCTCATCAGAATCTTCTGAAGTTTCATTGTAGAGCTCAACACAGTGACCGCAGTTCTCACACTGGAGAACTCTTGAGATTTTGTTCATGGATTCATCGCTTGCAGTTACTCCAACCCATCTCCATGGGTCTTCTCCTCCGTTAGTGAAGAAGATATTGGAGCTTCTTAAGCTAAGAGCTCCAAAGTGGATGTTGGTCTCTCTTGCCTGAGCAATTGCGTCCTTGCCGAATACTGCAATACATCTATCATCCCAGTATTTTCTTTGTATGGTATCTGATCTTGTGTGGATATCAGGATATGGAGTTTGGAAGAATCCAAACTCAGTGCAGTATTGGTAGGTCCAAGCTCTACCTGAGCTAGACACTACAATTGTAGGATCCTTAAGCTTGTTTCTGTCATACGAATTCTTCTCATCAACTGGGTCGTTGTAGTGTGTTGCGATTTGTCTGTATTGGTCAATAACTGATAGTTCTGAGATGCTTTCTAGGAAAGTGCAGAGCTCTGTTCTGCTTCCATATTGAATCTTTCCTACAATGATATCGATAAAATAAAAAGCAAAGTCACCATCATGCATAGCAGAGGCACCAAAGAGATCTTTGATTTCTTTTACTCCCTTCTTGTCTTTATTCTGAATACGCTTATCATATTCCAGATTCAGGCCTTGAATGGCTCTTGTGCAGGTGTCTGAGCTTCTGTTGCTTGATTCGTAGATCTGCCAGTCGAATAGATCCATGTTTTCAACTGCATTTATGACAGCTGAGGATGCCCAGGAAGCATCAGCAATATGAGGGTATTTCATTCTAAACCATGCTGAAAGAGCCCCTGGATAAGAGCCTCCAACAACAATGATCTTTCTCTTTTCACCTTTATGCTCAGAGACAATCTTGTCATTCACATGAGTAAGGAAAACAGCAATATCAGCAAGGGCGTGCCTTGCTGTTAGATACTTCAGATTATCAGTAGCCAAATTTGAAAATGGGTGAGAATCTCCATAAAACCTATGCTCAAGATAAATGAAGATTGCATTGTGCTCCTTCGCAACTTCGACCGGGAACTGTCTTGCTTCGTTTACTCCACACTCATATTCTCCACAGATATAAAGGAAAATTGGACCATTCTCAAAATCAAATCCATTAGCATCATACCAAAACCTCTGCTTATAAGTCCTCTCATCAGCTGGGTCGAAATGGTCTAAATAGACGACATTAGATCCACTAACCACAAAATCCTCACTTACCAATCAAATTACTAAACTGCTCCAAGTGGAACCCTTCTTCTTCAGAGAACTCGAAGCCTTCTCTAAATCCAATCTCTTGGCCCACAACACAGGATAAGCCTAGTGCGATAGCACACAGGATTATAAGCTTCATCTTTAGAAATTTATTATACAATCTTATTACTCCCTTGTGGGGTTTTGGGGTTTTGGGGTTTTGGGGTTTTGGGG